TTTGTTGTTGAAATCTGGTGACTGTGGAGGCCATTTAAGTGCAGTGAACTCAGTGTCATGTTCAGGATACCAGTTTGAGATGATTTGAGCTTTGTGACATCCAGTGTTATCCTGTTGGAAGCAGACATCAAAAATGGACACACTGTGGTCATAAAAGGATGGACATGGTCAGCAACAATACTCAGACTGGTGTTTAAATTATGCTCAGTTGGTACTAAGGGGCCCAAAGTGCGCAGAGACAACATCCGTCACACCATTACATCACCAGGAGCCTGAATCTTTGATACAAGGCAGGAATGAGCTCGTGCTTTCAGCTTTTTAATGCCAAATTCTGATCATACCATTACAAATGTTGCAGCAGAAATCCAGAACGTTTTTTCCAGTTCTGGCAATCCCATGTAACTTGCAGCCTTGAGTTCCTGTCCTTATGTGGCATGAGTGGCACCCCAGCATGGTCTTCTGCTGCTGTAAGCCATCTGCTTCAGTGTTCAGAGATGCTCTTGTGCACACACTGGATGTAAATCAGTGGTTATGGTTGTTTTCATATCAGCTCAAAAGCAGTCTGGCTATTCTCCTCTGACCTTAACAAGTCATTTCTATGTAAAAAAAACAAAAACAAAAAAACTGCTACTCACTGATTTTTATTTTTAAAACCACTTTCTATAAACCCTAGAAATTACTTTGGGATAAATCGCAGTAGATGACCAGCTTCTGAATACTCAGTCCAGCCTGTCTGGCATCACAGATTGCACATTTCAAGTCACTTAAAAAAAATAAAATAAGAAAAAATAAATAAATCACCTTTTAGCTCCATTCTGATACTTGGTTTGATTTTGAGCAGGTATCCTGACCATGTCTACATGCCCAAAGGCACTGAGTTGCTGCCATGTGATTGGCCGATTAGATATTTGCCTTAATGACTAGTTGAACATGTGTACCTAACCACTGGCTGTTGATTATTGCAAACAATTATGTAATAAAGATTCTTTTAACAAGGATATTAAACCAAAGGTAACTTCTGACCCATCTGAACAGGTCAATATTCCTTTATGTAAAGATATTACTTTCCCTTTACTTCTAAAAACCTTAAATGAAATCTTTCACTGCAGGCA